AGGCCAAGGCGGGCGGATCACCTGAGGTTGGGAGTTCGAGACCAGCCTTACCAACATGGAGAAACCCCGTGTCTACTAAAAATACAAAATTACCCAGGCGTGGTGGTGCATGCCTGTAATCCCAGGTACTCGGGAGGCTAAGGCTGTGGAATGACTTGAACCCAGGTGGGCGGAGGTTGCAATGAGCCGAGATCGCGCCATTGCACTCCAGCCTGGGTGACAAGAGAAAAACTCGGTCTCAAAAGAAAAAAAAAAAAAAAAGCCATTTTAAAACCTCAAATATCCAAATACCAGCATGGTTTGGGAGTTATAATTTACTTTGCATTAAATTCCATGGTGCAAAAAAGAGAGAATGTGGTTTTTCTGTTTGATTAATAACAAAAATGTACTGTTGGTAGTCCGGAGTTACATAGGCTTTATGCAGAGACCATAGTTTGCTATAGTCACATTTTTTAAAAAATTGGTTTGCCAAAACATCCCAAAAACTTTTGAATTCCTAAAGTTATTTCTGATACATATATTATATATATATATAATGTATATATACGCGCGCGTGCGCGCACGCACACACACACACACACACACACACATATATATATATACACACACACACACACACATACATATGTTTACTGGCATTTCATTGCATTTCTGAAGACTGAAATGGCATTAAATAGAAATTGTGTGTAAATTTGATTTATATGTACTTAGAAACTTAAAAGCTGCAGTTAAATGATCCCCAATGTTCAAATAACTGTATTTTATTTTTCTGACTATATTATGAATTTTGTTACCATTATTTTATTAATGTTTTCTTTAAGCTATTGGTTTTTTTGACATTAAAGTTTTCATTTATTATACTAAATTTTTTTATCATGTAAGACCAAATCCAGTAGTGCATTCTACAATGCTTTTTCTCTCACAATGCTGCTAAAGAAATGGCTATCATTTTGCGTTTCAAACATGCCAAAGATGACATAGAATTTATATTTATTTTTGTTCTTGTTAAAACTCTGTGAGCAACAATTATCAAGATATGTTAAATTATTGACATTCTCTGGGTACTAAATAAAAAGGCTGCAACTTTCTAACATTTTTACAGTTGACCTTGCTTGATCATTTTTTGGTTATAAAATTTTGTGTCTACTTTTATTAAACACATACAGCTAATTTCAGAATTCATTGGAAATAGTATACCTTGTTCAGGGGCCAGGTGTAACAAGTGTTTCAGGATATTGCTTTTTTATGCACATATTTTGATATGTCCTAAACTGTAGCATTATTCCCACTTGAAGATTACTTTTCTAATGTTCTCATAAGACAAGGAAATTCAATATACTGAACATTAAAACTTACAGTATTTTTAGGACTTATCAGGAAAATGGACTTGTTTGCAAGTTAGATAAGGAGATAACCTTTTGTACATTAAAGAAAAATTAACATTTTAGTCTCTAAAGATTGGCAAAATTTTTTAAAGCTCAGAATCAAGTAGAATAACAGAAATTTATCCGAAAAAGGAGTCACACATATGTATGCCAAGTTAATTTATAACAGCTGTACATATACACAGAAACTGTATTTCATATGTGGGTCAAAAACGCATTTGGAGTCTGGTGATCAAAAGCTACATGTTCCTCTTCTGTTTCTCTCAATTAACTTCTTAAAGGTAAACAAAACTGAAATTAGGCCAACTTTGGTAAGTGTGCAAAAATTGCTTTCCCATTGGCTACCTCTTTTTAATCCCTTTTCTGCTTTTGCTTTCATGTTTCCCAGTCTCCGAATCCCTTAGTAAAATATCTGATCATCATTTATACATAATACTTTAAGAAACTTGTTCTTAAAAAAGTATTACTATATTCTGCAGT